TATTAAAGTTTTTCTTCATTACCCATTCAAGCCGTCTCCAGCCATTATAGTCTCAAAGTGGGTTCCTCGTCATCGAAACTGTTATGGTATGTTTTGAATGTCTATAAATCTTGTGATCTTAATTTGAATATTCAATGCATATGTTATTGTTATAGGTTTTAGTTATTTGTTATAGTTTTAGTTATAAAAGCAATCAAATAGGGTGGCTGTTGTTGATAGGGAAGAGTTGAATTACGTTTTGTATCTAGTTATAAAAGTGTATCACAGTCGGGTTTGTTTGTTTGTTTTGAATTTCGCGCAAAGCTACACGAGGGCTATCTGCGCTAGCCGTCCCTAATTTAGCAGTGTAAGGCTAGAGGGAAGGCAGTTAGTCATCACCACCCACCGCCAACTCTTGGGCTACTCTTTTACCAACAAATAGTGGGATTGATCGTCACATTATAACGCCCCCACGGCTGAAAGGGCGAGCATGTTTGATGTGACACGCGACCTTCAGATTGCGAGTCGAGTGCCTTAACCACCTGGCCATTCCGGCCCTACACACAGTCGGGAGAGCATATTAGATGTGTTAGTTCAAACATTGCCATGATAATGTTTTGGCTTAAAACTTATTATATATGTTAGTTCAAACTTTACCACGATAATATTTTAGTTTAAAATTTATTATATATGTTAGTTCAAACTTTACCACGATAATGTTTTAGTTTAAAACTTATTATATATGTCAGTTCAAACCTTATCAAGACGATGTTTTGGTCAAAAATCTTCTAATCTCACAAAAGTATATGGAATAACATTTTGTTGTTCGTGAATATCCATTTTTATGTATAAAAGTTGGAGACAAAACTTCTTTGTCAACCTCTTTTTCCTTTTTTTAAATAATCGAAATATCTTTTAAGATAGAATACTCCCACTAATATACAAAATAAAAACTTATTTTGAGAGAACTTAAAGGAAAAATAATACTTAAAACTCTTCAAGATAATACAGTATTTAGCTGCAATTCCCGCTGTTATATCATTCTATTTCGCGAGTGTTTTGCTTTTAGATAATACTACCTTAGATGTACGCTCAAACCAAGGTTATCATTTTACGATATTCTCACCTCAAATACATTCTCAAACCCAGACACACTCACAGACCCAAAGTCATCACTTTATGATTACCTTTCATCATAAAATGTGATAGTAACGAAATGTGATTTTTCCCCCTTTCTTCTCTCATAAGTCACAATGTTATTGATGGCTTTTGTTCTTTTAATCTTATACGACTCAACTTTTAAAATCCATAATCGGTTTCATTGTTTTACTTAGTGAGTTTCCCTGTAATAGTATTGATAATTCAATGGAAGAAGCAGTCTTGTGATACATTCTAGTTAAATTAAATACGTGGGTGTTGTGTTATAACGTCAACTTTTGTCGTTAAATTGAAGGCTTAAGAAAACGGTCGTATATTTTTATGTATTTCTTAATTGCACAGAAAATAATTAGACGTAATGCGACGTTTCGTTTTGCTGTTCTGATATCGATAGTTGTTTTTGTCTCTAACCCTAGATACAAACAAAAGTTTGTACAAATTATTTTTGAAGAATCAAAACGTATATCATTCAGTTTTAATAAATATCATGAATATGGTAGATACATTGCACCTACTTGTAAGATTGCAGAATCTTCCAGAATATTCCTCGGTGCATACGCATATGAATGGATGTGGACCGTCTTCTACTATCTCGCACGTTCCGCCATTGAAACAAGGATTATTCTTACATACATCTGTATTGAACAAAGAAAAATATATTAATAATAAAAATATATTTACTCCTATATCATTGGAGGATCTAAATTATTATCAGTACTTTGCCAGAGTTTTAGCTTTTTTTTATACTTTTTGTGTATAACATTACATACTCTTGTATTTATCCACTGCGTTGTAACAGTAGCACTTGAAAACTGCTATATCTTACTCTTTTATAAATAAAAACGGATATATCTTTATCGAAGTTTATTTAGTTATTTTGTTTTTGTAAAATGTTCGTACAGGTTTTAATGTCCTGGTGAATAGGATGCCAAAAGTAGTAGAATTGTATTAATCCTGCTATCAAACTAAGGTTATTTGCCATAGCAGCCATTCCAAGGAGCTTATACTCTTTTGGTCCTGCTCCTGTGTCATCTGCCCTCCCCCATTGGGTGCAGGTCACACCCATGTGGAGGGGAGCTACAGTTAGCGTGAAGGAAAACATTGGCTCTTTAATATATGCAAAAAGCAAATGATCACTGACGTGGATAATCTGGGATTATCGGATTTAACTTTAAAACGTACGTTTTGTGCTTTAGGTTAGTTAGGGCTAAACTTTACCGTACTTAATGCTATCCATAATAAATTTATGATATCATTCTAAGACATAAAAGACTTTGATAAGTTTTTAATATGTTGTTGGACAAAATGTCTACTAAAATATATTTCAATCCACTTTTTCTTTACATCAGTTGAAATGAAGTGTGCGCGCATATGCATTTCGATAGTAAACTGCGCACGCATTTTCAGGACAGACAAAACCTGAGTACTATTATAATAGATACATTGATTAAACGCGATGAGCCTTTTATCTTTAAACTACCTGGCTATTGAGCTCTAAAGTGATTTCTTTGACTGATGGAGTTATGAAAAAGACCAGAGACTTCTTCACTTAAGGAAGATCAAACACATCGTGTAGGAAGTCAGACACAATTTACACGTTATTTCTTTATCGATTGTTTGTTTTTATGTAGTTATGCACAAAGCAACACAATGGGCTATCTGTGCGATGTAAGTCCGCAGACATACCGCTGTGCCATTTATCGAATATTAGTTGTACTTGATAAAGGCTTAACTTTTGTATTATTCTCGAAATCTTGTATTCAAAGAAGTACTGTAGCAATAAAGATACTAATATCACCACAAATGTTTTGCGGGTCTCTACTGGAAAGAGATATTTTGCTTTTAGTTTACACGAGCATTTGGGTTTTTCCCATAAAGTTCGTGTAATTTTATTCCCCCTACAAACAAGTATTTCGGTTCTTTCGTTATTTTTTTATCTGTTGTTCCAATTTATTTATTTTTAGTTGCGAAGATCCCAAAACAATTCAATTTACACCAATTATAAACGTTTATAATAAGAATATTTACAATATAATTTGGTAGTCAATTAACGCATCTTTGTATGAATAACGATATTGGAGCAATTAAGAATTTTTTGTAACTTTTAATTTCCTGCTTACACTTGAAACAAAAAACTAAGAAATGGTATAACATAAAAGTAATATACGGAAACTTAGGCCTAGTTATACATAAACAGTAAGTTACAACAAAAGGCTTGATTTATTTCTGGTTCTGTTTGTTTTAGAACAAAGCTATACTGGGCTCTCTGCTTTTGGTTTCTGGTATTTATGCAAGTCACCACAAGGGCTATCTACTTTAGTCAACCCTAGTTTAAACTTATAGATTACAGAGGTTGAGTACGTTATATTAAATGTAATTTTCGAGCCTAACCTGGTTGTTTTAGTCCATTCGCCAAATTTAGCCATGCTCGGGCGATTGACGATCTTGATAATAACTAGGACAATTTAATACTTTTACTGTTTCTAATCGAGACAGAGAAGAAAAAAAAAGATCTGTGGTTTTAAAACGCTAAAAATCGGGTTTCGATACCTGCGATGGGCAGTATACAGAGAGCCCATTGTATAGCTTTGCGCCTAACAATAAATAAAGATACATATGCTGTGTATTGTTTGTTTAATGGTCCTTTGGCGAAAGCAATAACAATGTCTTTGTTATTTTTACTACTTTAGTAAAACATGAATGCACTGTTTGCTTTAAACTCGAGAGCTACTAAGTAATCCTTTATATTTTCAGTTTTTATTTTTATCTATTAACTTATCAAAAGTCCCACAGTGTCTCGGCAGTATGTTAGAGGCTTTATAACGTTAGAATTCGGAGTTTGATGAGTCAGCGGTAAGTTTATGGACCATTTACGACGCTAAAATTCTGGATTCCATTACCCGAAGTAGACACTGTGCAGATAGACCATTGTGCAGCTTTGTGCTAGAACAAAACACAAATAGCTAATAAAAAAAACTTAACTTCCCTATTTTCACATTTGAGCTTTTTACGATAACAACGATACTAAGTTGCCAGTAAAGGTTTCATCCTAACGATTATTTCAATTTTAAAATGAAACAAAATTGTATAACTTATCATATTTAATGCTGATGTATTATTTAATTATATTGTGACATAAAACATATTACTATCAATTACCTATTTTTGTCGCGCAAGTCTTTCCTACAAAATGAGGTGGACATTCACAGTAAAAATCGTTTTCGTTTTCTTCGCATGTTCCACCATTTTTACATGGATCCGAAGCACAATAGTCATAAGAAGCTGTCACAGAGATAAGAGGTAAATAAATACATAATAATTTTTCACTTTGAAAATTTATTACAAAATGATTTAGAAATTACTAAAGAATGTATAAAAATATTAACTACTTAGTCACTCATTATGAACTATTAGGAAATAACTATTATAACTTTAAATATATTTATTTATATATATATAAATGTATAATGATTCTAAACATATAAAAATTGAGCCATTGCGTTAAAGTGGGTATTAGTATAAAGTGCTCGATAACAGTGTCATTTATTCAATAATTCCAAATTTCTTTCAGTCCAAACTCTGTTTAATGCAATTACATATAACACTATTATCTGCAAATACATAATTTGAATAATGTTTACTATTAATGATGTGTAATAGCGCTCGTTACGTTATTCCTTGGAAAACCGTTTTACGATTTTGAGGAATAAGCGTAACTTTGATTCTATTACAATTGTCAACAGAAAATAAACCCGAGGACTGATAGTTCTTGGCTTACGTGTACAACATTTGTCGAAATTGAAGTAACTACCAACTCTCATCTTGATCACCTTCACTAGCTTAGAAAAATTACAACCAGAGTCCTCAAATTTTTTGTTTTGTTTTTAATTAAATGCATTTTAAAAACCAATTTTGAAGTAAGCCTTTCGAAACGAAACTTACTGCTGCTAGTTTCTCCAAGAGACGTTGATAGGAGGAGTAATATCATGCAGAAACACAAACCACACCTGAACATTTTGTAGAAGGTAGTTTTTGGGTCTGGCTAACAGTGGACTTACTCCAGCTCTCTATCACCTCAGGCGTTGCTACTTGAATGTAAAGCACGTGAAGTACTTTGATATCCACCCCCAGAATGCACCCATGTCGGTAGTAAGATAATCTTACTGTATCAGCTAGCCTTTATCTCTCTCTATAATGTATTGTCTTTTTGGCATCGTTTGAGATTGAAGAAACAGACCAATTGGTTAGGGCGCTTGACTCACAAGCTGCAGGTCGTGGGTTCGAATCCCCCTCCCCTCATACGTGCTCTCCCTTTCAGCTGTGGGGACGTTATAATGTGCAGTCAATCCCACTATTCGTTGGTAAAAGAGTATTCCAAGAGTTATCGGTGGGTGGTGTTGACTAGCTGCC